GAGGCATCGCCATGGCCAGAGGCCTCTTGGCCAGGGCTCAGTCCTGCCTGCGATCCTGGCCACCTGCCCAGCCAAGGCCCCTGGGTTTTGTTTGATTTGGGTTTGGGTCTGTTCCTTCGGCTTTCCCCTGCTGTCCCTCACCCCAGTGCCAGGCCCTCTTTGATTGAGTCCCGTTCCCTGGGCTAGGAGTCCAGTGGGGGAATCAGACCTGTGGACACCTAATGTAAGAACAAGCCAGAATGTGCAGTGAAAGCTCTAAGGGGGAGGCCAGGGCCAAGGTCATGCTGGAGGCTGAGATGAATTTGGACTGGGGAGGCTGGGCAGGCTTCATGGAGGAGACGGCACCTGCGCCAAGCTTTTCATTCATTCAAAAAACTTTTTAACAAGGGCCAACTGTGTGCCTGGCACTGTTCTGGACACTGGGATACATTACTGAAAGGAATTTCTTCCCTCCTGTGGCTCAGATTCTGGTTGGGGGAGGAAACCAATAAACCAATAGACAAATCAATATATAGGATGCCCTATGGTGATATGTACTATGGAGAACAAAGCAGGGTAGAGGGGATAGAGTGCAGTGGTGTGAGCGTTGCTATTTTTATATGGGGTGGTCAGAGCAAGACTCCCCCGTAGGGTGAAATTTGAGCAGAGACCTGAAGGGAGTGGGGCAGCAAGCCATGTGGCCATCTGGGGGGAAGAAGGTTCTAGTGAGAGAGAACAGCAATCGAAGGGCTCAGAGGTAAGACTGTCGTAGAGTGTTTAGGGAAGAGCCAAGTGGCCGGAGTAGGCACCTTGCAGAATGAGCAAGGTGAAGAGCATAAAAGGTGGGGTGGGGGATGGGCTGGTCACACAGGACCTTGAAGCTATTCGGGAGGAATCTGAGCAGAGAATGGCACATTTCTGACTTAAATCTTAATGGTTTCGTTCTAACTGCTGTGCTGAGAATACTTTGGGGGTACAAACACCAAAGGAAGCGGTCAGTTTAGGAGGCCAGGCAGGAGAGGACCATGGGTCAGCCCAGGGTGACAACAGCGGAAGTACGGGTAGGTGTGTTCAGATTTGGGATGTATTTTACTTTTATTTATCTATTTTTTTAAAGTAAACTCTACACCTAACAAGGGGCTTGAACTCAAGACCCCGAGATCAAGAGTTGTATGCTCTACCAACTGAGCCAGCCAGGTGCGCTTGGATATATTTTGAAGGTGAGCTTTGAGAATGCAACAACATTTGACAGGTAGAGACATATGGAGGAAGGAAGGTCTGATGGGCCCCAGACGGAAGTGTAGAAAGAGATCCAGGCCTGCGGAAAAGGGCATCGGGCAGGTCTGCAGGGGGTGAAGGAGGGTCCCCAAAGGCCTGGGCTGGGGTGTAGGCAATGTGGCTCGGGGAAGGAGGCATGCACTCAGAGCCACTCTTTGGAAACTACCCTGCAGCCAAGGGGCCGCTGTGGATGCTGGGGCTGTAGCTCCCCAGGGTCCCAAAGGCCTGCGAAAGGAAAAAGACCCTGCTCCCCTCATGCAGGCTGCGCTGGGGATGGCCCAGCCCAGTGCCTCTGCGCAGCCTTCATTCAGGTCACAAGCAGGTTGGTCATTTACTCCAGGGCCCTCAGCCCAGGATTCTTGCCGCTCCTTGAAATCAAGCCAGTGGGCCTCACAGGCCCCAGAGAAGGGGTTCCTCTTGCAGAAATAGAGCAAGCAAGGTCTGTCCCAGGGACAGTTGGTTTTACGTGGGTCAGGAGAGTCAAGAAAGACCCTCTCTGCCTAGGAATGAAGAGGGGGTTTGGTCAGGGAGGATAGAAGGGCTTTGGCAGCTAGGACTGCCCACCCCAAAGGCTGGCTGTCATCTCCTTTCTCAGTTGCGCAAGATATTCCGAGCCCCAAACGAGCTCAGCTTTGTTCCCCATTCACCACCCCCCAACCCTCCCGGAAGACAGAGGCTCTGCTCAGGGCCCCATTCTTTTTTTCTTTAAAGATTTTATTTATTTATTTGACAGAGAGAGACAGCGAGAGCAGGAACACAAGCAGGGGGAGTGGGAGAGGGAGAAGCAGGCTTCCCGCTGAGCAGGGAGCCCAACGCCTCAATCCCAGGACACTGGGATCATGACCTGAGCCGAAGGCAGACACTTAACTGACTGAGCCACCCAGGCACAGGGCCCCATTCTGCAACACCTTCTCAACTACCACTGAGAAGGCAAAAGGGCAAAAGGGAAACTGAGGCACAAAGCTGGTGGCACACATGGGAGAGTCCCACGCTCTAATCCCAGCCTCCTCAGTCACCCCCTGCCACACCCTGGGGAACTTGTCGTGCCCCGCCTCCTGCCACAGTTTGGGTCCCTGTTCATGTTCCTTTCCCCTATACTTTGAGAGCAGCAACCAGACTCTGTTCATATCTGTGATCCCACAATCCCAACCCAGAAGCATTAGGAGTTCATTGGATGAATAAAGGGATGTGGGATTTCCTGAGGGGTGGGTGGACAAGATAGGCTTGGAAAACAGGAGAAGTAAGGAAGGAAGCTCCAGAAGGAGCCTGGCCAATGCCACCCTCCCACCCCACTCTCCATGCTCCAGAATGAGCCATTGCCAACACTTCCCAAGCACTTACTATGAGCCAGACCTTTGCATTTATATGCACAATTTCATTTGGTCCTCACGGGATCCCCATGAGGGAGGTACAATCACCATGCCCATTTTACAGATGCAGATAACGGAGGCACAGAGAGGCCGAGTTATCGATCCAAGGTCCCGTCGCTACTAAGCAACAAACCTAGGATTCAAAAGCAGATTCGTCCAACCCCACATGCAATGCGCTTCGCTGTCTCCCATGCTCCCATGTGTGTGTCTATCTCAGGTTAGCCTGGATGTACCCTCCCTGATGCCCAGTCATCCCCATCCCAAGACAACTGTGGTTATGTCTGAGGAAAGCCCTTTATAAAATTTTCCAAACACCACTGATTACTGTTATTAATGATAACTGCTCTCCTCTTAGTATTTCCATCACCTGCTTTCCAGTCCCCAATGGAACCCTCTATTTGTGGTCCTCCCAGCCACATGTTTAGGGTGGAGCGTGCCCCGCATTCTGCCCCTTCCCATCACAGCCTGTCCCATCCGACCCCCCCTCCCCCTCCTCCCCATCCTTCCTGGAGGCAACACCCCAGCAGCAACACCTGCCCATTTCCCCCAGACCATTTCCTGCTCACACCCCCTGTCCCTCCCAGCAGCTAACAGCCTCTCCCCCAAGGGACTGAACTGATTGTTTCCCAGACCATGGAGGGGCAGGATCTGGAATTCTGATTCCAGGCACGCCCTTTTGCTCTGCAAATTTGGGGAGCTGATTCCAAGGCAATAGTGAGATCCAGACACAGGAAAGCCCAACAGAAAAACCGAATTCCAAAGAAGTTCTCTGAGAATTCCAAGTTTTGGGAACTGGGAAATTCCCAGATCCTAAGTTCTAGGAATACCCAGTCCCTCAGGATGCGGAGAAGGCAATCTTGGAAATTTTTATTTCAGGACTTCTGATTCCAGTTCTTTGTGGAAACCTTTCTTTTCCACTTCCTCACGCCATTTGTGTGACTTCAATGTGACTGACTTTGAAAGCCAGAAGTAAATTTAAAAATCCTTCTCCACATAGAGCTGTGAAATTCCCAGAAATTTTATGGGGAAAATTTTCTTTAGGTCCCAAATATGAAATTATTTAAATATCTGTAAATCTCATTATTTAACGCTATTTGCAGAGCAATGGTGACTTGGTTGGAGCATTATCAAGAATGGGATCAATGTTGGGGTGCCTGGCTGGCTCAGTGGGTATAGCATGTGACTCTTGATCTTGGGGTTGTGAGTTTGAGTGCCGAGCCCTACGTTGGGTGTAGAGATTACTGAAAAATAAAAAAAAAATCTTAGAAGAAAAAAAAGAATGTGACCAATGTTTGAGCCATCAGAGATGTGAATGCCCCAAAGGCACCCATGCAAGATTCTCTCTCCCCCCATGCTTTTCCACTTTCCCCCCCACTAGCCCTTGTATCTCTACTCCTCAGACTGAGTTTGAGTAGAATCCCAGTGCTGAAGCTTCTTGGAAGATCTGGGGTGGTCTGGGGAGGAGGGACAAATTGTACAATGTCCTCTCTGAAGCTCAGGAAATTCCCAGGCTTAGGCCCTCCCCCAAACCTGGCTACTGGCCAGGGCTCCCACAGTTCCCGTCCCCATCATAGCTGTCCTCAGGCTTGCGATCCTGCCCCCAGCCCTGGCTGGCTGCGGGAAGGGATTAGGGGCCCTAGGAAGCCTTCTTGTGGTCCCCCCCCTTTAGTGTCTCCAGGCAGATCAGAGCTGGTTACCCCCCTTGTCTGTCCCAGGAAAAGGGAAAAGTAGGGGGAAGGAAGGAGTGAGGACTGGGGGAAGGGGTTTCTGACAGGAAAAAGACATTGGAGGTCAGTGAACCTCCTCAAGGCTGGCTGAGCCAGAAGGGTCGGATTTCACAGCCTGGGGCTCCAGACACGCGCCAGGGTGGGGGAATAGAAGGAAAGAGACGGACCTACACAGTTGGGGCTCTCGCTTGGGACAGAAGAGCTTACACTGTGTGGTGGGGAGCTGGGTGGTGGGGAGAAGGACAGGGACACATGGAGGGAGCTGGCGGTTTCAATTGACACTTCGATGGTCTGAGGCATTCCTTCTCTTCTGCACCTGCCCTCCTTTTCCAGCTCCCTGTCTCCAGCCCCTCATCTGGCCCTTTTCCCCAGATGTCCTCTCATGCCCCCTTTCCCTGGCCTGCCCCTCCAATCCTTCTCTCGCCCATCCCAATTTTCCAGCCCCCCCCAACTCCTGCTCTTCTCAGTGCCCCCAAATCAGTGGCTTCTCCAGCCCGCCCCTTCGATCGCTCTTCTCTGGCTCTGGACGTCCCAGCCCTCGTCCGAACCCCCAAGCCCTCCCCCCGGCCCCCGCCTCTCAGCTCCCTTTCCGCAGCGCGCCCGCCTTCCAGAGCCCCGCATCCCGCCGCCGGAGCCCGGCACTAACCCGATTCGGAAGAGCAGCCGCTTGCTGCGCGCCATGAACAGGCCGCGGAGGGTCCGCCGCGCTCGGCAGCTGCGGGGGCTCACCAGCAGGACGAGGACAAGGAGCAGCAGCCCGCAGCCGGAGACCCACAGCCACGGCGCGGACCAGCCCGGCCAGGCCATGCTGGGGGCAGGCGCCCGCGGCCGACCGGGGGCGGGCGGGGCGGGGCGTTGCTAGGCGACGGCTCGGCCCAGGCCCCTTGGCAGGGAATCTGCGGGGTTGGGGCCCCGCCCCCTGCACTGCCAGCCTGGGGGGGCGTGGGGGGGCATTCTGGCCCCGCCCCGCTCCGCGACTCGCATTCGAACCCGCCCCCTCGCCACGCTCCGCCGGGCGCAAGCCCCGAATGCCACCCGCAGGAGGCGGCCTGGCCCCGCCCCCGCTGGCCGGCCCGGGGGCGGGGCGGGTGCGGCCTCCTGACCTGCGCCGATTCCGGTCCAAGATCTCCAGAGGGCGGGGAGGGGGTCGAGGATCGACGGGTGCCCCCCGCCCCCTCCACACCCCACACCCCCACCCTCGACATCCTTCCACCTTCCCCCAACAGGGGACTCTGCGAGAGGCCCTGGAATGGTCCTCTTGGCGGGAAATCCTAGCCTGAAACTTTTTCAGCTGGAAGGAACCTGGAAGATCATGTGGGTCAATGGCCATTCATTCATGTATTCATTCACTAAATTACTGTTCTGTGCCCTCCTTTGCGCCAAGCACTGTGCTAGGCTCTGTGGATGCAAGGGTCAAAGATACACAGCCTCTACATTCCTGGAGCCTGCAATCTAGATTCTGGCAGGGAAACAGACCAAATAAGCCAACAAACATAATTATATATGCATTTATTTATATTTATATATGCACATATATATACACACACACATATGTACATACTTGTGTGTGATTACAAAGTGTGCTGTGATAAAGGGAGCGAGCAGAGGGGCCAATGGTAAGGAGGACAGAGGACCAATTTAGATGGGCGTGGGGCTCCCTAAGCAGGTGACCTGTAAACCATATACCCTTAAGGATGAGAAGAGACCACAAAGGTCAGAGGGTGTGATTGAACCAGGATTATGCAACAATGGGTGGCAGAGACAGGAGTAGGACCTTGGTATCCTGCCTCCCAAGCCCAGTGGAATTTCCACATCATTCCCCCCACCCCCTGCTCCCGCCCCCCTGCACTGCTGCGTTCCTGATGGGTTCCAGAAGATGTTGAGGTCAGTGGGAGGGAAGTAGATGCAAGGGCAGGCGTGGTGACATCGACAAATTTGGGCAAACCTTCTGGCTCCAGCCCTAGCCCTGGCCCAGCACAAGAAGGGAAGGAAATGCTGCCAACAGTCAAGTTAGCAATCTGCTGCTGGGAGTTGGTTGGTGGAGGGAAGCAGGTGAGGCAGTGCTCTTATTTTCTTCCCTGCAGCCTGGGCTCGGGCCTAAGAGGCTGGATAAGCTGACCCCCGAATCACACACTCTCTCCCTCTGATGGACAGCTGGATCCAAAGGCTGGGTCCCCAGCGTGGAGAGCAGAGACGTATAGGATCATTACGTACAATGAATTGGAGGCCTCAGCCTCCCCCTTCAAAAAAGCCAAGAGATGGGTTGAGGTATTCCTAAATGGAACTGTAATCCCAACACCTAATCCTGGCTTCATTCAGAAACCCCAGACATGCATGGACTTTCTCTTATATGGATACATCTTGAGGGCCAGAACCTATGGCCTGCTCCATCCCTGTCTCCTTACTCACAATCCAGCTTCTTCTCAGGGCCTGGCACCCCAAGGGTCTGAATAAACAAGTATCAGATAGAATGGAATTAGGCTCCCACCTGTGATTAGCTTCCCACCTGTGAGTGCCGCACAGGAGGCAGAGAGGAGAGAAGACCGACAGGCTACTTTGCAGAGGCCCTTCCAGGCCGAGGGACTTTGTATGTCTCTAAGTCTATGTGTATGCATGCAAAGTGAAGAATCATGAAGCCCCATCAAAAGTCATTGTGAACACACCTTTCTGCAGGTAAGGCTGTGCCAGGCATTATATTGGGAAATTAAAACACAGTCTCTGTCATTTGAAACAGGAAATGCAGGCTCAGGCATGAGCCTGCTGTGAATACAGAATGATCGAATTCTTACTCTCCAGCCACACACATGCTGACAAGATTATAGATAATCATTCAAGATGCATTTTATGAAATACATGGAGGGGCGCCTGGGTGGCTCAGTCGGTTAAGCGGCTGCCTTCGGCTCAGGTCATGATCCCAGGGTCCTGGGATCAAGCCCCACGTCGGGCTCCCTGCTCGGCAGAGAGCCTGCTTCTCCCTCTCCCTCTGTCTGCCGCTCTGCCTACTTATGCTCTCTCTCTATCTCTGTTAAATAAATAAATAAAAATCTTAAAAAAAAAAAATACATGGAGCCAGGACAGGACTGGGGCTAAGGAGTAAGGGTGGGTGTTTTAGGGGCCTCATGTGGGCTCAGGAAGCCCTCCTCTCCTCCCCTGGACTGTTCTGGAAGACTTCCAACATCTGCTCCGAATCTGCTTTAAAGACTTTATTTTTTAAGTAATCTTTACACCCAACGGGGGGCTCAAATTTACAACCCCAAGATCAAGAGTCTCATGCTCCACTCAATAAGCCAGCCAGGTGCCCCAAAATCTGCTTTAGTGTCATCTCCTCTCCCATGAAAACCTTCTGTCCCAGCCAGACTGATGCCTCAGTATTCACCCCCTCCTGAACTTACAGCTTATATTACCTAACTATTTGTCTTTCCCTGAATCCATCATATTGCTCCACATCCTTGCAACTTTGCACATGCTTTGCCTTCCGCCCGGAGTGTCATTCATCCTCTGTTCCCTGAAAGACTCAGATCACATGTGCTCTCTTCAAGAAAGCTCTTCTCGAACCCTCCCACCCCAGCATGGGCTTACGCATGGGCCTCTTGTGCCGCTCTAGGTCTCGTCCATAACCCTATCTTTCAGTGCAATGCCTCATGCTATATAGAGAGATATATATATTTGTTTACATGTCTGTCTCAAGAGTCTAGAGTCTAGAAGACTTTACTGTCTTCCTGAAGAGTAGGGAGTATGATTTAATTGATTCATCTTTGAATCTCCAGTGTCTGGCATGGTACCAGATGCATACTAAATACTCACAAATGTTCTTTGAAATGCCCCAATGCCAGCCCCTCTGTGATGGGAAGAGCCTGTATCCTGAGCTGACTGAGGATTACATGGCTTATCCCAGGAGTCCCCCACAGCGGGGATGTTGCCTCACAGAAGACATGTGGCCAAGTCTGGAGACATTTCTGATTGTCACAAAAGGGAGGGGGAGGTGTGCTAGTGGCATCTGGTAAGTGGAGGCCAGGGATGCTGCCAAACATCCTACGCTGAACAGGACAGCCCCACGACAAAGAATTATCCAGCCCCAAATGTCAACAGTACAGAGGTGGAGAAACCCTTGCATACACAGGTGTGAAAATTCACCAGATTGTGCCTTAAAAATGTGCGCACTTACCATATGTAAGCTATACATCAAATTAAAGAAAAATGCGACCCTCTCTGAGACGCCTTCGTTGACCACTCCATCGCCGTCGGCTGTATTGCTCTGCTCACTTCCTTCATCATGCTTTTCACACTATGATGTTATTTTGTGATTCTCATCTGCCGCCCCCCTGCTGGAATGAAAGCCCCATGAAGTCAGGGAAGGATCTATCTCTGCCCCACTGTATTCTCAGTGGGATGCACAATGCCTGGCTCAAAGTAGATGACAAGCATCTGTTGAATGAATGAGTGAATGATAGAAGCCAAGAATGAATGAATGATAATTTGGTTATTGCCACTGAGCCCTGTGACTGTCAGAAGACTAGCATTCTGACCAGTGGGTTGAATCCCTGCAGGACTGACACATGCAGAAGCCAGTCCCCACTCAGGAGGGCGGGTGGTGAACAGGGAGTTGGGACAAGCCTGGTGACGGCCCTTGGTTCGTAACATTAGAGGAGGCTGCAGGAGGGCCAAGTCTGAGGAACCCCTCTTTGCCCATGACCTCCTCCCCTGAGCAGCCTGGGGTGCATTGCCAAGGCTAAGGTTTGCCTCTGCGACTCTCCTAGGAGAGACCCCTTAATCACCTGGGTCAGGTGACTGGCAGCATGTCATTCTGGCCTGTGATGGGGGGCTTTAGAGCTTAACTCACAAAGAGCAAGCCTCCCTGCAGGTTCCTGGGGGTGGGGGTAGGGAGTTCTCGAATCTGCCCCTTATCCACTTTCCATCTCAGTTTGCCTGTCCCTGGTGTCTGAATCCTGTCTTCCCAACTGGCCCGGGACCTTCCATTAGGATCAAGAGCCTATCTTCATCTTGCATCATAGCTCAGGCTTGATGCCTGGCGCTTGGCTGGCGGTCAAGAAATCATGGTATTGATGGTGGTGGTGATGACAACGATGATGATGAGCGGTCATGAAGGAGCTGAGACGGTTGGAGCTGTTTGAATGTTAGAGAAAAGAGACATCTTGTTGGACCAGTGTGGAGAACTGAGTTCAGTGTAGAAAAGGCAGCCGGATGCAGCAGCAGTGGCTAGGATTATCTGGCTCCCCCCTCAGCCCAGCCCCATATCTGCTGCCCCCATGCTGAGCCCACCTTCCCATTATGAACCTCCAAGGCGTTGTGCTGTACACTCTGGAACCCTGATTTGCATGGGAACAAGTCCCACCCCACCCCTACCCCCCAGACATCTATTTCCTTCCTCCCTCCTGCTGCCCTGCTTTCTGGAGGGGGAACCTTCAGCCTCCGACGCTTGTCGTGTGCCATTCCAGGTCAGGATCACTGCTCCTCCTGCCTCGAGTAAAAACTTCTCTCCAGCCCTCCTCAGCAGCACAGTCACTGACCCAGCCCAGACTCTGAAGAGTAGACACCTGTTTCTGGTCTTCCTGCCTGCTTCCTGTCATAAGGGAATTCCAGAAAGCATGGCTCATTGGAACTTTCAGCTCAGCTGTTCTCAAACTTCAGAGAATCTAAGAACTACTCCGGGAGTCTGTTAAAATACAGAATCCTGGGCCTCTCCCCAAAAGATTCCAACTTCGTAGGTCTGGCTAGGGCCCAGGAATCTGCATTTAGCATAGGTTACCCTGAACTCTGCCTTGGCCTCAGTTCCTGACCTCACTTCCAAGGCCTTCAATGCAATTGAATGGCCTACTCACGTGG